TTTTTTAGCTTCTGTAACTTGCTTGCTGGCATGACCCTGAGAAAAGCCTCTGAGTTGTGGTTTTCATCCTTAAATTCCCAAGACATAGGACAGGAAATTGCTGTTCTTCCACAGAGCATCAGTCTCTACGGATGGGTGACAGTCCCTGGCCAGGTAAATAAAGCTCTCTTGTTTGAATTCAGGCTTAGAGTGTTTTCTGAGGCGGCTCCCCATGAGTTTCAATTAAAAAAAAAAAAAGTCTACTCCTTTATTTTTTTCTGGTCACTTTCTGTTCAGACTAACACACGAACTCTGCTTCAGGGCAGAATTTTGCAAGGGAAAAGAGGTGACGCCTCTGGGAACCAGACAGTGTTTTTTTTCCCCTGGTACTAAGGGATAATATGCTCAGTATTTCCATTTCCGAAAATTCAAAGCAGTGAGTAGCAATGTATCACAAAGTTAAAGGAAGGAATTAAAACAGTTTAGAAGTTGTTTGTAAGGAGATGTGATTGTGAAAGAAAGGAAAAAGAAGAAGGAAGGGAGAGAGAGAAAGAGATAGAGGAGGGGAAAGAGACAGAGAGAGGGAAAATAGGCAGACAGAAAGGAGGATGGACAGACGCAGGTAAGACAGGGAGAGAGACAGCGCGTGAGTGAACAGATCAGGGGGACTTTCCCACCCTCAGCATCCACGCGTCTTGCTCCACCCCACACCTCAAAAGAGAAAGAGAGCGAAGAAACAGGAAGAAGATGAAGGGAAGGCAGGCCCCGTGGCCCTGCCAGAACAGCCGGGTCCCCAGGCATAGACCAGCCAGGCACAAGGACAGATATGGAAGACCAAATATCACCAAGAGGGAGTCCTGGGCACTGGTGGTCTCAGCAAAGGGCAGAAGGTATACATCCCTTCACATATTTCTAAAAATCTACTTTGTACCTTGCCAAGGAATAGAGAAAGTCTTTATTCCAGATGGGAATACAGCCAGATTTCAAATTTTAGAAAGTAAAGAACAACTTCATCTTCAACAGTATACTACAGGGACATAGCCACATCAATGTTTATAGCAGCACAATTCACAATAGCTAAACTGTGGAGCCAACCTAGATTTCCTTCAGTGGATGAATGGATAAAAAAATGTGGCATTTATACCCAATGGAATATTACTCAGCAATAAAAAATATTAAGATCATGGCATTTGGGTCATGGCATTTGCAGGGAAATGGATGGCATTAGGGAAGATTATGCTAAGTGAAGTTAGCCAATCCCCCCCCAAAAAACAAATGCTGAATGTCTTCTCTTGATGTACGGGGAGTGACTCAAAATGGGGTTGGGAGGGAGAGCAAGGGAGGAAGATCACCTCTAGATAGGGAATAGGGGTGGGAGGGAAAGGGAGGGAGAAGGGGAATAGCATGGATTGTGAAAGGAGACCCTCATCACTATACAAAATACATGTATGAAGATGTGAATTTGGTGTCAACATGCCTTATATATAATCAGAGATATGATGAATTATGGTATAATGGTGTATTAAGCAGAATAAAATAGACATTATTATTGCTGTGGGTATATATGTGAATGCATGACCAATGTGATTCTGCAACCTGTACACTCAGAAAAATGAGAACTTATATCCCATCTGATTCAATTGTATATGTCAAGATCATTGTACTGTCATGTGTAACTAATTAAAAAATAAATAAATAAAAAATTTAAAAAATTTTTTTTAAAAAAGAATTTAAACTGAACTCCAGAATCTATGCTTGGAGGACAGTCCCATAGAAGCTACCCTCTTTGCACCTAATGGACTTTTCCTAAATGAGAAATAAAGTTTTATTGTGTTGAGCCAATGGAAAAAAAAAGAATTGTAATGCAAAAATAAATAAATAAATAAATTTTACAAAAAGAAAAGAAAAAAAATAAAATCATATTTCCCCATCTTCCCCATCCACTCTCCAATGTCAGGCTGGCTTGTGCCGTTTTTTAGGGCCTGTGGTTTCAACTTTGCATTAACCTATTTACAACCTGAATGGTTTAAGATGAGTAAAAGAATAAGCTAGTTTTAGATGAGGAAATGAGACCCCTGCCTTGCCGTCATTCCTCGAAGGGAGAATGTCACCTGATGCAGGCAGATACTGGTTCGGGCAAAAGGGGCTTAGAATGTCCCTGCTGCTGTTGCCATTTTTCCTCCACAGTCATTAGCTAAATCTTCCAGGGTCTTGGGCCTCACCAGGAATTCTTAGGCCGAGCAAGAACCTTACAGCACTCATTCCCAGGTCTGAGGAGGAAGAACCCCCCAGCTGCACCTGGGAATGTTTCCTGCATCATCCTAGGTACTTGGAAGAAGCAAAACAGTAGCGAAGTAGGAGTTTTTAGATGAGACTGAATTCCCCACTTCCCCAATTTCCTCTGGGTTCTTGTCTTGTAAATGTTGTAGAACAAAATCCACAGACAAACACGGAAGGGAAGGGGTGTGCTGCTGTCAACGGACCACAGACAGGGTGGCTTACGGCAACCATTCGACATCCTGGAAGCTAAGTTCAAAATCAAGCTGTCAGAAGTGCCTTGTTTCTTCTAGAGGCTCCAGAGAAACATCGATTTGCCTCTTCCAGCCTTCCTGGCCACCAGCATTCCGCGGTGTCTCTGCCTGTGGCCACATCAACCCAGTCTCTGCCTCTGTCTTCACCTGGCTATCTCTTTCTTTCTTTTCCTTCCTTCCTTCCTTTCTTTCTTTTCTTTGTCTTATAAAGACACCCATCACTGAATTTAGGGCCCACTTTGGATAATCTGGGATGATCTAAGAGCTTAACTTAATTATATTGTAAGACCCCTGTTCCAAAGAAGTTCACATTCAGAGGTTCCAGAAATTGGGATGTGAGCAGATCTTTGGGGAACCCACCATTTAACTCCTGGAGCATTTGTCCAAAATGCCACCTCTCTGTGGCTTGGCCAGCTCTCTGCTTTAAACATCACTGACTGTGACGTGTGCTTTCTTGTGGCCTAATGCTTTCTTCTTGTGTTACTCTTTTGTCACATTTTTAAGCTCCTTAAGGGCAGAGGCCTCCTCTGCTTATGCTTCTAGTATAAAAGAGGGGATCAATAAAAACCAATTCAACTGTATTTTATAGATCTCTCTCTCTCTCTCTCTCTCTCTCTCTCCCTATGCACACAATATTAAGAGTCCAAAATAAAAACATTGTTCAACCCGGGAGGGAACTAGAATTGGGTTATGAATATTGTCCTCATCACTATGTCACCTACTGCTTACCCCAAAATACATTGTCCCCAGTACCAAAAAGGAAATACAGTGTTAACATCTAAACTGTTTTCCAGCACAGCTGGGGGATTCACCAGGATGCATTCAAATCTCCCCATTGGCCTGGCTGTAGTTATTTAGCAAAATAAATAAATAGGTTCAGAGTCTGTCTCAGCTTGACTGAGATCTTGTCATCTGACTCTTCATATACGACCTTATCTGACTTCTTCATATACAACAAATGATTTATAATATTTCCTGAAATAAAGTTTCTAGATTATATCCTACCTACTAGGTAGCTTTTAAAAAATCAACATAATTAGCTAACAATGGTGAAAAAGAGAAATAAAATAAATTTATAGTAAAAATATGTATTTTCATAACATTTGTGTATGAATAACTCAAAGATGTAATCGAGGCATGCAGATTACCTAAACAGAGATTCTTCCAAAGATGGCAGTTCTCAGGATACAGTGATTCTGGTGTGGTGTTTTGGCTTTTATTTCCTGGTGACTCAAAAGCATCACATAGTATCACCAGCAATGATAGATATCATTTCCCCAAATCCTGATCATGCTGGGTAATTTTTTTTTACAGTCTGGAATACAGTTTATGTTAAAACCATGCAAAACATAACTTATGTTTCTGTGCAAATCAAAGTTACTTTCTTGCCTTGGACACTGCGAACGCCAGTGGGTGTTGGAAAGCAGGTACTTTCTCGTGGTTTGCAACAGTCTTCTGCTTTGCAATCCAAAACAGGACTAATATCCACAATAAATAAAGAACTCTTAGAGAATTAGAAGAGAATAAACATCTCATGAAAATATTTCCCCCGAATTGGGCAATTCATAGAAAAAAGCATAAATGTCCTTTAAACATACAAAAAATGACCAATGTCACTTACAATAGGACATATGCCATTTGCTCCATCTTGAGTTACCATTTTTTATCTGGCAGTTTGGCAAGCATTTGAAAGTGCACCAGGCTCTATTAGGGAGGCAGTGGAAAAACAACTGATATATTCTGGAAAGAGAAGAAGTGGTATATTCACTGTGAGGAGGAACTTGGAAACATCTAATAAACACAGTTACATATGATTCACCCTTTGACCCAGCAACCCCACTTCCAGGAAATGCATGTCTATCAATGCAAAACAACATACTTACATAGTTTTTCATTATAAGATCAAAATATTGAAATGGCCATCCTTCAAGGTCTGATGGAATTAACTAGGGTGCATCCACAGGAAGCTGCAGGAAATTAGTGCCAAAGAACTCTATGAATTAATGTGAAATGACTGTGTGTGTGTGGTGTGTGTGTGTGTGTGTGTGTGTGTGTGTTTGAAGTGACTTTTTAAAATACAAATAAAAAAAAGAGTTGAGGATTTAGTTCATTAGCAGAGCTCTTCCCTATCATGTGCAAGGTCCTGGGTATGGTCCTTGACCCAGAAAAAGAAAAAAGTGAGGCAAATACAAATGAAACAAAGAAAGACATGAGATATATATAAATAATATGCTACGCTTTTCATGAAAAGGAAAAGAAAATAAGCAAATAATCATACCGTTGGTTTTTTTTTTTTTCACAAAAATATCAAGGGAAGATTAACTTAGAAGCCATAAAACTTGGGGTTAGATAGGATAAGGGTGGAAGGGGATAAAGGATAAAAATGACTAGTACCTTTTATAGTTTTGACTTTTGGATTATATAAATATTTCACATATTTAATAAACAAATCAAAAAGGATTTTTTTTTCAAGTATGGTAATACAAATAAATGACCCTACTGTATATCGAATTGGTAACAACCCCGCAGGAGAATGAGTCCCTCTTCACTTTCCTCGGCAAGAAATGTGTGCCTATGTCTTCAGCAGTGGTACAATTATATGCAGCAGATCGGAACGGTATGTGGTCAAAGAAGTGCAGTGGTGTTGCTTGTCTTGTTAAGGACAATCCACAAAGATCTTATTTTTTAAGAATATTTGACATTAAGGATGGGAAATTATTGTGGGAACAAGAACTATACAATAACTTTGTATATAATAGTCCTAGAGGATATTTTCATACCTTTGCTGGAGATACTTGTCAAGTTGCTCTTAATTTTGCCAATGAAGAAGAAGCAAAAAAATTCCGAAAAGCAGTTACAGACTTGTTGGGCCGACGACCAAGAAAATCTGAGAAAAGATGAGACCCCCCAAATGGTCCCAATCTACCTATGGCTACAGTTGATATAAAAAATCCAGAAATCACAACAAATAGATTTTATAGTACCCAAGTCAACAACATCTCCCATACCAAAGAAAAGAAGAAAGGAAAAGCTAAAAAGAAGAGGTTAACCAAGGCAGACATTGGAACACCAAGCAACTTCCAGCATATTGGACATGTTGGCTGGGATCCAAATACAGGCTTTGATCTGAATAATTTGGATCCAGAATTGAAGAATCTTTTTGATTTGTGTGGAATCTCAGAGGCACAACTTAAAGACCGAGAAACATCAAAAGTTATATATGACTTTATTGAAAAAACAGGAGGTGTTGAAGCAGTTAAAAATGAACTACGAAGGCAAGCACCACCACCTCCACCACCACCACGGGGAGGACCACCACCACCTCCTCCCCCTCCACATAGCTCAGGCCCTCCTCCTCCTCCTGCCAGGGGAAGAGGTGCTCCTCCCCCACCACCTTCAAGAGCTCCCACAGCTGCACCTCCACCACCATCTCCTTCCAGGCCAGGTGTGGCCGTCCCTCCACCACCACCAAATAGGGTGTATCCTCCTCCACCTCCAGCCCTTCCCTCTTCAGCGCCTTCTGGGCCTCCACCACCACCTCCACCTCTATCAGTGGTAGGATCAGTGACAGCACCCCCACCACCTCCACCTCCGCCTCCACCAGGGCCACCACCTCCCCCTGGCCTCCCTTCTGATGGGGACCATCAAGTTCCAACTCCTGCAGGAAACAAAGCATCCCTTTTAGATCAAATCAGAGAGGGTGCTCAGCTAAAAAAAGTGGAACAGAACAGTCGACCAATGTCCTGCTCTGGAAGGGATGCGCTTTTAGACCAGATACGACAGGGTATTCAACTGAAATCTGTGTCTGATGGCCAAGAGTCTGCACCACCAACACCTGCACCCACTTCAGGAATTGTGGGTGCATTGATGGAAGTAATGCAGAAAAGGAGCAAAGCCATTCATTCTTCAGATGAAGATGAAGATGAAGATGATGAAGAAGATTTTGAGGATGATGATGAATGGGAAGACTGATCTATATATTATATATATATATATATATATATATATATATATATATATATATATATATATATATTTTTTAAGGTGAAATACTAACCACTACTTTCTGTCTATGGATTCTGTAAAATTATCATGTAAATGTTCTACCAATTTGCTGTATATTTTTGTTGCCTTTTTTGCTTTTTTTTTTTAAATTAATCTGTGCAATACCTCATTTAATCTGTAAAGGTTTGTCATAATCCTCTACAAAGCTACTCCCTGTTACTGTGTACAAGTTTACACCAGGATGCTCACTTGATTTGTGAATATATTTCATTCCATCAACAAGGGAGTTTAAATACTATATGTGAGACTGACAAAAACCTTAATGTAATTTAGTTATAATGCCAGAAGGAAAACACTATTTTCATACCCTACTTTTTCTGTACCTAAATTTTCTTATTAAAATCTATTATAGCACTACATTCTTTTTTAAGTGATGTAAACCTTAGTTTCTTTAGCCCCTTCATTTTGAATGCAATGCTACATGTGAATGTTGAAGTTGATACCTTGCACAGTTCTCTAGACATCACTACACTGATGCCATTTTTCAAATTTTAGCAATATGCTCTGTATGACATCTCTACAAAGATCCCAGTAGGGGAAATCAATTATGCCTCTTACAGCAGCATTGCTGTTACTGGCACAGTAGTGGTGTTTGCAGGCTGGAACCACAGGGAACCCGTCCTTCCATACCTGTACTTGATTGCGGTTATGTTTATGCTGTAACAAATGTGACATGCTTTTTGGCAAAACTCTTAAAAAATATTTTTGGTATTATTCTGAAAAATTATTTAAGTTGGAGTTTAGAGGCTTTGGGGTAGTTTTATTCTTCATGAACCATAATGGTCATTCTGTTTTTCAGTTTGTATAGATTGAGGTCTTCAAAAATACCAACCATAAATATCAAATTAATTGGCAAAGGTATGTACTGTAATGCTGAACCTAACATACTGTATATTTTTCTTTTGATAATTTCCCAAGGTTTTTGTCAAATGTCAAGTGAAGGGTTACATTTTTCTTAAAAGATTGATGGTCCAAATGTCAATTTTCTTGAAACACATAACTGATTCTGATTTAATAGTTTTTTTAAAAAAATAAAACCTTACAACCTGCACATTTGTTTATGCATACTAAATGGTGTGTTAAAATTAGGGTGTCCTTCCCTCTTTACAATACACTAATTCACCTAAAGATGGTCATTCATATTTATAGTGCTAATTATTATATCTACCTACTTTGAATTTTAGGTAGAAAATTATCTGATTTAAATACAGACATATTTTCTCACATTGAGTCATATGCAGAATGTAGTTCCAAATGTATTTCATTACTATAGTCACGATACCCAACTAAAAATTATTCTATCTAGAATTGTTTCGACCAAAATCTAGTATTGGCATGATCTTGACAGGCTGGACCTGCAAGATGTGGCTTGAATTTTAACCAGTTTATCACATAATCTCTAGTGATCATGCATCTAGTTATCATAAAAATAATTTAAGAGGTTTAGTTGATGAAAGCAGTAAGTGGTGCAGTAAAATAGTTAAGTTATTCAAAGAATGTTACCTTCCTTGCAAGAGTAATTTAAGCACATGGGAAAGATTCTAGATTTTTGTTTCTTGTAAAAACAGCGCCCTTTGCTGCTAGAAACCTTTTCTGCTTACTATCATTTTTATTGTGGCTTTAGCTCAGTGAGTCTGGTGTGGATAAGGTTGGACAGCTACTAACCAATAAAATCAAAATTTTGTGCAAATATTAACTAGGACATTATAATTATTTTAAATAAATAACATTAAGTCTGGTGCAGTGGCTCATACCTGTAATCCCAATGACTTGGAAAGCTGAGGCAGGAGAATTACAAGTTTGAGACCAGCAACTTAGCAAGACCCTGTCTCAAAATAGAAAGGTCTGGGATGTAGCTCAGTGTTAAAGCACTGCTGAATTCAATCCTCCAGTTCTGGAAAAATACATTTCATTAAACATGTCTTTTCTATGACATTATAAAAAATGTTTTAAGTGGCCTAGAAATGTAAGGTAATGCCAATTTAAGGTGTTTCTTAACTTTTGGCCAAGGAATTCAGGATTTTCTATCTAACTTTCGTATGATAAGTATTTATCAGGAGCTTCTCTGAGCAGAGGATATCAATTCTCAGAGTTGGAAACATACATAAAAGATGGGTATATAATTTGCCAAAGGCAATTGAGTTTGTTCTTTTTTCTTAAGGAGAAAAAGACCTTTTTGTTGTGATTGCACAAAGTCTAAGTTTCTATTGGTTGAAACACGACAGCTATGGAGTTCAGTCCAGGCATGAAAACTACATCTTCTTTACTGAGTAAGATAAAGTTTGCATGTTTCAGTCCTCCACCATTCTGCACTGTGGGCAGCACTATACCTGTGCATTGTCTGAAAGCCTCCCATATATACTCCATCGAAATGATTGTCTGGTAGCCTTCGCATTTAACAAACTAGCATGAGGCTTTTTATATCTAAATGCTATGTGATAGACAATTTCAGCTAGCCACATATTGTATGTATGCGATTCATAAAAATTTTCAATCATTCATTTCCATTTATCAACTGAAATTTTGTTTAGTATGTGATTTTTTTTTGAATTGTATAGTGAATAGGATGTTGCACTGGTGACAATTCATCATGGAGCGTAATAAAATTAATTTGGCCCAAATAGCAAAAAAAAAAAAAAAAAAAAAAAGAAGAAAGGAATTCATTCCAGGAACTTGAACATGGCTCTCCAAGCACATACAATTACTAGGATTTATTCTAAGGACAAATATATGCATGCAAAGAAATCTTATATTTACTTAAGAGTTTTATGGTCATTAGTGGTCCTGATGTGACAGTTCTGTAATATTTTGAATATATCATAGATGAGAGCAAATAAGTAAGGGAGAAGGAAGATTCAAATACGGAATGGAGAATAACAAGAAACAACTTTATAGTGCTACATTTGTTGTAACTGCAGTTCGCAGCATGAATTCCTGGCTTCTGGATTATATTTCTTAGCTCTCTTCACCAAAGGGGAGAAGCAACGAGGCTCCAGTATGAATGATCCTCCCTCTATCCAGGTCTTGGTTTCCAAGTGCCACTCTCCATCAAAAAAAAAAATAAGTATTCCTTGGCAAAAAAGGTTGACTTGGTCTAAACAGGAAAACCATGAACCCGGAAGTGCTCTCAAGTTAATGCAACTTACAAAGTTCCCCCAGCTGAGAACTAGTCCAACTTACAAAACAGACCCAGGCCTTCAAACACTAAGCACAGCAATTTTTTTTTCTATTTCACTGCAGCCTATTTTCCACTGTGAAATCTGCTCTTTACTTATAGCATCTAAATTTTGGGTATCACTTTTGAATATTAGAATTTCACCAAAGTGATGCCTTTCTTATTTCATTTGCTTCTCCTTTAGTACCATTAAGACTTTGCGAATCCATGCAGCCAGGTGTAGGTGTGAGCTGCTTCTGTGTTGTTCGGTTTCCAAACCATGCCTCTGCTCAGAGTACCCAGGGCCAGAGAGGACTTAGGGGACAGCTGGGAGCATGCAGCCTTCTGTGGCTATATTTGCTTTGCAAAAGTGATCCTGATTTTTCTGCTGCGGAAGAATAAGATGAGGAAAGGAGTAAGAAAATGGGAAGAAGAGGAGGGACAGTACATGGACTTATTTTTCAATGACTATTGACACGGACTAGCAAAGCTTTGGGAGGCACCAATTCAATGGCATTCCTGAAACAGACTGGAGGAGCCCCTTAGGTGTGCCAACTGCACCAGATCCATCAGCTTCTACCCCCTCCAGTCTCCTACCATCCCCAGGAGGCTCCTCCCTCCAGGGTACCCACAGTTGCCAGGGGACTCTTTCCCCACACGGTTACTGTGTGGTGCATCAAAATGTGTTATCACCACGCCACTAATTTCCACACACATCTGCTTGAGGATCTCTCCCTGCTTCCTCAGCACATCCATCTCCATCTAGTTTACATTTTATGGCCCTTGTCTTCATGTTAGCAAGTGTTTTCAAGCACTGTGAGCATTTGGGCCTGTGCCAGGCCAGCAGGCCCTCGGCCCCACTCCCTGTGGTTTGAGGTTCCATTTACAGCTTTAATTTCCAGTCAGCTGTAATTCAGGACCACAAATGGCCAAATTGAAACAGCTCACTCACTTCCAAAAAGCACCTTGCCAGTCTCCCCCTATTTACCAAGTCAAGTGCAAACAATGCTACCTCACCTGGAAGGGAAGGAAGGCCTCTGATTTCTTTGCTTATGTCGGACACCCTGGGTCACTAAACAACCACTTCTGCATTGGAGTGTGACTTCTGGCATTCGCCAGAGAGCCTGGCAGAGTTCCCACAAGGCAATTTCCCGGCTAGATATCATGCAGAGGCCCTGAGAAATGTCTGATGAAATTAAGCCCTGGCTGAGGGACTTCAAATCTTCTAGCCAGTGTTTCTCCAATGTGAGAAGTGCACACAGCCTTTGAAAGGGGAAAATTGTGCACAGTTGAAAATAGAGCTCAAAAGCGTATACTTTCATGCAAATGTTCTTTACTTGCAAATTAGTACTGCAAAAGAGACCTGCCTGTAAAACTGGTATCATTTAGAACAAGCCTGCAGCCTTGGCACGGTTTGGGAATGGATCTAAATCTTATTTTTAGAATTGCTCTGTAAGGAGTTATGCAAGGATTCTCATGCACCCCTTCTCACTGCATCCAGCAGACCTCCTGCTTCATCTTAGTTCTAACAAGACTTCTCTAAAATCCTGGTGCCCAGCATATCTTTTTTTGTGGGAGGAGGGTGGACAGGGGATTGAACTCAGGGGCACTTGACCACTGAGCCACATCCCTGATGTATTTTGTATTTTATTTAGAGACAGAGTCTCACTGAGTTGTTTAGCCCCTCGCTTTTGCTGAGGCTGGCTTTGAACTCGTGATCCTCCTGCCTCAGCCACCCGCAGCTGCTGGGATTACAGGCGTGTGCCACTGTGCC